TTTTTTTTATCTAAGATGCGCAGAAGAAACATTATGTTGAGATGATTTTTTTGAATTATGGATGTAGAGATTTGTATTTAGGAAATTTGGAATACGCATAATTACAGATTTTGTGTGACCTTGAAGATATTGTGCGAGTTTGTTTGCTATGCGATATTTTCTGTAGATTCGCATAAAGTTTTTCCCTTCATGACTTTTAGATTCTTTTTCTCTGTGAAGTTTACCAGTATGGGCTGTGCCATATCATCTTCGTGACCTTTCTATTGCCCTTCCATCGCTTTTCTTATCATTTTACAATTTCAAATGCTGATGTCATCTTTCTAATGCTGATTACATTGCTTCAAAGTGACTGATCATCTTACCTTCGAATTTTTTGATCGAACCAACTATTGCATCTTCACTCAATCCATTTTAAAAAGCTATTTTTGTCCGTACTATAGCGACATCTCTTCTTTTCCCATAGGCGTATCTGCCTTAGCTATCTCTCGGCTTTCATCCGGTTTGCCATATTGTGCTCCCCTATTCAATATTCCAACGTATGTTCGGTCGACTAACCGCATTCGATTAGGTGTGTTAACCAAATGCCAACATTTGCCCATTTATTTACTCTAACCAGTTTCTCAGGAATGAAACGCGAACACACTGATGACGATCGCTATGGCAGCTCACGTAACTCTAAAAGACAAAGAGCCGACGGGTAGGGTTAAATTTTTTGCTTTTGCTGTATGATTACTCATACGAAAAGGCTAAATTCTAGTTTTTCTGAGGCGTTGGCTCAGGGGAAGTTCGAGCTTCGCATTCTTGTAAGCAGTAAATGTGCCGGAGCAATCATTGGCAAGGGTGGTGAAAACATCAAACGTCTACGTAACCAGGTGCGTTTCCTTTTTCGACTCGCTAAGTTGATTCTGGGTTGTTTTACCAGAAATTATTCTCTCCTAGTTAGGTTCAAATGCGAAAGCATCGGAGTAAGCTATCTTCATTTCGCACTTATCCTCACTTTTGAGATTTTTTTCCTCGAATAGCATATACACCTGACGCATAATTCTTGCTTTGCATACAACCTTAGTGGGCGGCAGGGGGGAGGCTGAAAGGACTTGTTGCCCCTGCCTCTAGATATCCCTAGGAACTTCGGATCTCCTCGCGCCTCTGATTGTCAGGAAGCCATCCTTTGCTTGCCTGCGGGTAGATGTCAGTGTTCTTATTGCAGGTTGTAACTTAGGATTAAGCTCAGATTTGATTATTATTTTGAAATTTGCGAAGTAAAGCGACAGAAAGCGCCAAATAGCTAATTTCATTAGGTGGCCTAAAATGGCTCTGCTGTGTTATACATACACTAATGCTTCAAATTGCGCCGATTCTACTCTGTTTGTACTCTGTTTTTACGCTAACTTTCTCGAAACCTGTAATGGTTTTAAGATTCTTGGGTTTTTATCTTTTTTCCGGAATGTAAAAGGGCTGCACCAATGCAGGCAGCAACAAGTGGCGCGAGAAATTCCTCTAAGCCATGGACAGAGGCGGCAAGTCTTCGCAGCCTTTCGCACGCTCTCCACTATGAATAGATAGCAAGCTTGGTCATTTTTTGATTATATTATCACTTCTGGTAATGCTCTTTGTTAACCCGCGCATTGTTCTTTTTTATGTGATGCTTTCGTGTGTGATTGCCTAATTCATGTTCGAAAAGTTGGGAAGTTAAATTTTCCTGTGTTGTTGAGGGTTTTTGCGATAAGAGTGATAAATTTTATACTTAGTAGCCAGCCAATATTGTTAATTGCACACGAATTGGCCACGAAGTCTTGATCATTCCCTATGAGACTGATCTCTTGATGCGACTCAATGCCGATTTCAATCTGCTTTTCATATCGCATCATGTCTTTCTTGGAGAATCGAACGTGCTCTAGTGTATCATTTGGCATTGATGACTTTTCCCTGTGTTCAAAATTCGCTCGTCAAAGTCGATAATAGTTAGTGACATTGTTATTGCATTTTGCAGGTTATGTGCTCGTATTTTGATCATTGATAAGGTTTTCCGTTACTGTGCTAATTAGATATACAGTAGTTAGATAAAGTTGCAAAAAAGCCCTTTGCGACCAACCCACATTAATTTTCAGAAAAATTGTAAGTGAAGAAGTTATCACTAACAACTTTTTCTATCAGTCATCACTAGTAGCAGAAACTGATTTTCCAACAAAGTAAATTTATCTTTTAGAATTGAGTCACATGTAGGAGGTGGATTGAAGTCTGCATCTAGAGTCGCACTAATAATTTACATCTCTGCAGAAATGGCTAATAGATTTTACAATTTTTTCTTGCAAATTTCCATAAGCATTTTTTTTTTGCTCAGAGAAATCCTTTTATGTATGAAACTTAATGGTACTCGATTGAAACAAACTTCTGTATAACTATATAAGCAAGGACTGCACCAGGGCATAAACTTGAACCATGCTGTGCGATTGTAAGGTGTCTGGAAGAGAGCTTAAAGGCACATTCGAAAAGACCTAAAATTAAGGTTATTTATTCAGATAGTGTTTGTGGCATTGTGTTTAAGAATTGTTGAAGGAAGCAGCTCGCTACATGTTGCGTTAACCGTCCTCGTTTTCAGTTCGAAGGCCAGATCTCAGTTCCCGATTCCAACTCTCCCGAACGGTAATTCCCTATGCTACCCGTTCCCAATTGCTTGTCACATACAACAACAATATGTTGTGCCCAAGACACTGACACTTATGAAATGTGATTGCGTGTGGTCGTACGGGAAGAAAGAAAGAAATCATCCGCTCCGTCGCCACCACCTCTTCACACTCAGATACACTGAATGAATGACCCATCCCGGGCCCTAAGTTTATTCCACCTTTTTCCCTAAAAAAGTGAAGCGAAATTTGTGAAGTAGAAGTGAGGTCCTTGTTCAGTGAAGAGGGTTTTGATGAAGTTGAATGATCATTTGTTGATCTACGTTTGGAGGTTCTGAATTTTTTTTT